CGTACTTTCTTCCTCTCCCTCTTTTGGCTTTTCGGCAGGTATCGAAACGCTAACCTAACTAGTAATAATATCTAATTCTCATAGCATATTCATGTTCAAAAAATAAACTACTCACTTATAATTATATATATGTGTTCATATACACACACATATACATATATACAATAACTATATTATTAATATTGAATTTTTTTTTATAATTTATTTTATACTTTTACTACTATCATTCAAATGTAATGGGAAGAATCTCGTTTGTATGATTTTTTTTATATATAATTTTATTAAGCCTTTAAGAATAAAACAAAACTGCAAAATATTTAAAAAAAATTGTGTTAATCCCTTAGTTGGGAGTGTGAGATTATTTACTCCTTTTGTAGTTGTATGTGATAATTTTTGGTTATATCATAGATTTTCTTCTATTGACCCATTAGATAGGCCAATGAAATATACTCAATATAATGTTTGGTAAATGAAGAAGTAGATCAACATTTTTCAAGGTATACCTATACTGGTCTTACTACTATTCGCCTGAAGTTCAATTTTTGTGAACTCTGCTTTAAAATATGATAAAAATGTATGTATTTATTAGCTAAGTTAAAAAGCTTCAATAGTGTAGAACGATAAGAAATAAGTATTTTAATTGTAAGTCATATGAAAAGAGAAAGAAGTTTTTGAAATTATGAGTGGTTCATGATGTAAGAATCATTTTGAATTTTTTATGCATATATAATAGGTATGATGTACCTACTCTCAAATAAAAATGTAATTACATTAAATTAAAAATAAATAATGACCAGCGGCTACTAAATAACTAGCCAAGTTTCTAAGCAAAACGATGAATTTATTGGTTTTACATTGTGTTACTTTTCACGATAACTAGAGTCAATCCTGTGCTTCGACTTACATTTAGAAAGGGGTTATTTTGGATAGACAAATTAGTTATATTCTGGTTTTTGTTGATTAAACAAGTCAAAATTAAAAATTATACAAACATAATCTGTGATACCTATTTAGTAGGAATTATTAAATAAAAAGCAAGCCTATGATGTTATTCACAATCATAGTCGTATATTTTGTTAATCACAATTAACTATTATAATAAGCCGACGTAATTAGGTAAGTACCTACCTACTTAAAAATCGAGTTATTGGGTATTTACTATTTGTTGTTCAGACCACGAACAAAAATATTTTGATTCGTCATGGTTCACACCATAAATTTGTTTTCGTTATTTCCATAGTCAACTAAAAAAAAAAAATATTAATTATTTTCATCACACCAGAACCAGGGCAATGACTGTATTATTAATTGTTTTAAAGAAGAACTAAAAAAATGATTTTTGTTTATGAGAATATAATTATTATGAAAATTATCTAACTATAATAATAATGAAAATTTGGTATTTTAATCGTAACTTGACGGACATCTAAACATAACAGCAAATATCTCCTGGACAAAGAAAAATATACAATGGGAGTTTTTTAGCTGCTCTATTTTTTTTCCAAATAAAAGTTTTGTACTTAATTTGTAAGCTTTAGGTAATTTTATTTTTGTTTTTAATTGTTTAATTTTCTGTTGTCACTTGTTATACTTAATATTTAAGTGAATATGGAGTGAATTGACTTTTTATAAAATTTAAAGGTAGCTAATAATACATTTTTTCGACACTCATGTATGTACGTAAATCTAAAAATTTGCTTAGCAATTGTATAACAATTTATACGGCAAAGATATAAATTATTATTACTATATTTATGATATATAACTACACATACACTACTATAGAATATTTGAATCATTGTATCTGAATTCATCGTCGGATTGAGACCTAACTGAGATTTTAAATTTCTATCGGCCCATTCATAAGTGTAGATTTGATTGTATTATATATGACAAGCAACGACCTTTATTTTAAAAATAAAAGCTTTTAGCTTAAGCTTAATCATGATCATGATCATGACCTGCTCAAATTTTATGCAGTCCTATTTTAAAATATCATTGTATGTTTTTAATAATCAAAGTTCTATTTTTATTATTGCATATTGATAAAATTATACAAGGAATTATTACATATTTCGTTTTTAAATCTTTAATGAGCTATATAAATTACTAACACTGATGGTATCCAGCTCCCCCCTCCCCCCCTGTAAGTAAGTGAATAGTGATATTTAGCATTACCCAAAATTGGCTAGTCAGAAAATTATCCAACCTAAAAACATAGGTATATGTGTTAAAAAATGAATTGTTCTTCTTCCCCATGATAAAACAATTTCTTACCACGGCACTGATTTGTTGAGTATTCCTCCGATTCTACTATTAATTATTAATTTTATTTTTTGACATGTATATGTCTTATGGCTGGGGGTCATTCTGTTAATTTGGCGGACACCTAGAATGTTACCATGACGTCATTGGTGCGTTTACGTGTGCGTGTGTGTGCGTCGACCGGTTTCTGGAAATTAGGGATTATACAAACGTTATCGAAATCGCGGTGGCTTGTGATCTATTAGTATTTAGTAACATTAGGCTAGGATCCACTATGCGTTTTGTCGGCAACCGAAAAATACTATCCCGATTAACAGCAATCGGAACGATCGATCATACTGTGCGTTTTATCGGTAACCAAAATTGAAAATTTTATGTATAATTAATAATCATTTTTAAATTTAAATAATTAAAAAACTTAAAATATATTTGTAATATACATATATATATATATATTATATTTTATTTATATTATAGATGTATATTATTATTTATTAGCATAATTAGTTGATACACGTTTTAAATAAAAACAAATAATTCTAATCACACAACCTTTTTATTATTTTTTACTTATAATATTAGATACATTTCGTTTAAATAAAAAATCAGTTTAAAATTTAAATTTAAATTAAAAACGATTTTCGGGCTTTTTAATCTCATTTGTATATACAGTGTGTTCAACGATAAAGGTAACACGAAATATTTCGAACGCATGACCTTGTATGCAATTCGGGTTTTTAGTAATGTATAAAGGGCATAAAATTACATTTATTTTTGATAAATCTTAATTTTTAAAAAAAATATTCTGCGCATGCGCAACAAAATAATATTTTTTTTAAATGGCACCTCCCTTTTTTGAGTTCAAATTTGAATTAAATGAATTTTTTCAAGCAACTTTGACCTTTAAAGTTTTGCTCTATCTTCAAAATTGACTGATTGAGAATGAGTTAAATTTTCGATTTATAACATTTGTATTTATCGTATTTTTCAATAGTCTACTTAGAGTACCTATACACAATTGGTTAATGTGAAGTAGGAGGTATATACATACAAATTACGTAATGAATTGTGATTATACAAACTATACTAATTTTTATGTCATTAAATACTCGGTAACCGTAGATATACTAGAATGTTTTAAAAACAATTTATATAGGCATTTTCATTTTCAGGCTTTTTTTTTTTTATACAAATATCAAAATAATATGATTTGGTAGTTCAAAAGCTTAAAAATTTAAAACAAAGTTCTTTATAAGTGATAATATTGAAATTGAAATATCTAATAAATATTTCAATAAAAATATGTAATTTTTTTTTTATTTAAAAAATGTTCATGATATAATCAATGAAAAATATAGAACATTATTTTGTCAAGTTTTTAGTCAAAATGTACTATTTGCAGTTTGCACTCATCAAAGCAAAAAGTACTATTATTAGAATTACAAACAATAAATTTTGTAACACTTTTGCTAACCGAAATAAATTTAATAGATCTTATCTATTTTTGAGACATTCATATTTCAATAATTTAATGCACAGTAAAAAATTAATTCTTCTGCAAAATATTTGAACACATACCAAGCGAGTTTTTAAAGTCACTCGAAATTATTGAAAATTATCATTATCAACACATTATTTAAGATTATTATGAAAGCCAAAAGATCTAATAACATTATGCTTCACTTCTTCATTCTATTTATTAGCTTCCATAGTTATGTCCAATCATTGCCAATTGCTTTAAGTAAGAGTGATTCAAAACATAATTATAATTAACCCCAATTATCTCACGAGAAGTTTTGTATTTAACTACTTACTGTCAGGCACCGACTAAGCCAAAAATCATCACATCTTGGAACATCTTATTAATCTTTCGCTCAATTATATAGTATAGATATCCTGCGTATGAACAAAAACAGTAAAACTATGCAGATATGTGAGGTATTAGATATAATTTATTATTAATTGTATATAAATATATATATGCAGTATAAAAGTACAATTCGCTTAAAAACAAAATTGGCAAATATTGTAGCGAGTAATACATGAAAATGTAGTTATGAGTATGATAATTAGGTTAAACATACAAATTTCCAATATAATCATTAATGTATTATGTTAACATGTTAAGTACACTTGTCTTACATAGCTGAGATGTTGAATACATGCACTCGATTGTGTTATGATTAATTTGTTGGAACATAAAAAATAATAACTTATACAAATTATAATATTATAGATGATCTAATTTTTTTCTTTTTTAATGAAACAGTTTTACAAACATATAATAGGTATATTCAATTATTTTGAAGATTCCTATTTTTTTTTAACTAAAACTAAAAATTAGATTATTTAATATTAAATTTAATTATTAACTATATTATGTTTTAAAAACCAATTTTACTTAGCAAAATACCAATAAAATATTCAATTTATGCATAGAAATTATTACATAAGTGATTACACTAATTTAGCTATTTTATATATTTATATTATTTGTAAGTATTAACAAATAAAAAAATTTCAAGTTTTTTAGTTTACCTTTTTTTTTTTTAAATAAAATAATGTATTATCAAATATTTTTTTTAAAGCTAGAAATACATAATTTCTAATACCAAATTACACACATAATATTAATATGAATTTGATTCCATAGTTAAAAACAAATTACATATTTTAAATAAAAACGCACTTGTAAGAGAACTATACTGAACACAATTCAAAATATTTAAGTATACTGTTAATAATTTAAATGATTATTCTTTATTTAAAATCAAATGATATTTGAATACACATAAATGAAGAATGTTTAAAAACAAATAACTTTTACGAATTACAAATTATTGGATACTCAATTATTTTTTCTAAAGTTATATATCCTCCATTTTTTTTTTTAAAACTTATTTACTCAAATGTGATTTTAGCGACTTGATCGACCCCTTCTTGCTACTCCTCGACCACGACCACCACCTCTACCACGTGTTGGAGTAGTTTTGACAGCTGGAGCTGGAGATTCTTTAACTGGTTCAGCAACAACTTCTTTAGTTTCAACAACAGTATCCCCAACTACTGTGTCTTTAACTACAGGGTCTGGATCTGGAACTACTGAATCTTCAGAGTTAATTGCATTCGACTCTTCATTGCAAATCTCATTAGTGGGTTCATTTGATTTTATATCTTGCATATCATCATCATCATCCATAGGTTCAGATTCTGGTTCAACTATGCCATTTTGCTCAACTATCGGTTGATCTTCAGCTTCATCCAAACGAGCTTTTTTCTCAGGCGTTTCAGATTCAGTTTCTTCTGCGTTTACATCATCGTCCACATCGTCCAAATCATTGTCATCGCCTTCTTTCTTATCTTCTTTCATTTTGCGTTTTCGGTTATTGATCTTAGCCTAAAAATTGTTTATTAAAAATATTTTAGAATAGAACATACCCATACAAATACTTTTTTTTTATTTTGCAAAATAATTTATACTCACATGTAATTTTGTGATAGTAGTAAAGTTAATGTAATGTGAAGCAGTTTGACAATGTAAATCTGCTTCTTCATCATTCTTCATAAACATTGAACAAATACGACATACATATCCTCCAGTCTTAACTACAAGTTCACGACCAACAACATTAGTGGGATTATATTTTTCTTCTTTTTCTTTTTTGATAGCCAATGCATCTGTTTTAGTACTATCATTCAATTCTTTATCAATGTTATTTTCATCTTTGGAAACATCAATCTCCATTATGGAAGTATCATTGTCTGTCTTGGAAGTATCATTCTCATCTTTAGAAATATCCTCTTTATTTTCCTTATCAACATTGGTATTAGCTACTACTTCATCATTTTTATTATCAGATTCCTTTGTAATGTCTTCTTGTTCCTGTTCCTGTTCTTGTTCCTGTTCTTCTTCTTCTTCTTCTTCATCTTTCAAGTCTTGATCATCAAGCATATCTAATTTTGACGCAACAGGTATTTCTTCTGAAGGTCCATCATCTTCAATCACTATCACATCAAGCAATTCAAATTCATCGTCTTTAAGATCCGGATTAAATTGACGGCGCTGTTCACCGACTTTGCGTAAATGATCTGAAGATAATTTATGATCATCCCATTCTAAGCGAGTATGGAATAATGTATCACACATTTTGCATTCTGGATGAAGAAATTGTTTCAATTTCTAAAACAATAAAATAATCTTAGTTCATACAAAAATGTATTTAAGAGGAATGGGAAAATGTCTAAGATTTAGATACAAATATATTTAAAATAGAAGATATGAGAATACACATTTTAATTTGTGAGAATTTTACGAATTTTTAAATAAGAAACATTAAAGTATTATTATTGATATAAATCTATTGTTCGTACTGATGAATATATAATTTTATTTTAATGTTGAATTCATTCAGTTTATTATAAACAAAATTAATTAATAGATCAAATTATTTCATAATTAAGCTATGTAAATTAATATCAATTTGCTGAAATCGAAGACTTATATTATGCAACAAATATATAATTTAATTTATGAAGAGTGCTTTACTATTAATTTATATAGATACTTACGCGATGACGATCACTTTTACGATGTCCAGTCAAAGGTCCATAGAAATTAATATTGCACATAGGACAATAATTACGGAACAATGGTTTTGCTTTTCCCTTATTTTGAGCTTGCATACGTTCTAAATCAATTTCTCTTTGATTTTCAGCTGCTTTAATCTGATGACGCATTAACTCTACTTGCATCTTGTACCCTTCATCCAAATATGTCATCATCAATTCATGAGGACGACCACGTACATGTTTTTCAAAAGACTAAAATAATAAATTTTTGACTTAATTGTGTCTAGATATATTTTTTAATTAAACTACTTACAGCTCCGTCCCACATGTGTTTTTGACAAACATGACAAAATAATACAGCTGTTGGAATACCATCATAATCTACATGTTCCTAAAGTAAAGACATAAAATGTATTAATTAAATGATATAACTTTAAAATAAAAATGTATTTACTTGATCAGTTGTTTCTTTCTTGATACCATTGGTTTCATTACTAGAACTATACAAAAGTAAAATAGAAAAAGATTATGTTAATAAAATTAATCAATATATTAATATAGGATATAAAAATTAGGCTCTTCGGGAAATATTCAAAAAAAATATTTTTGAAGTTGAAATAAAACCTTAATTTATAGATGATTAGAGCAAAAAAATTATACAATTGAATGGCAGTTCAGTTTAAATATGATTATTTACCCCATAAAAATAATATCAACTATAATTACTTAAAATATTAGTTGTTTCCAAAAAGAAAGAGAGTATATTATACAACAATATTGAATTATGTTGTATATATAATTGAATAACAAACTTAAAATCATAAAATCTTGTTTTTTAAAAATAAAATACAATGTACTCGGTAGAAAAAATAAGAATTTGGTAACATTGTTAAATAAATAACAGGTATTATTTCCTTAAATGATAAAATTTCTTTTATATTTTATAAATAATTGTATAATACGTAAATATTACTTGGACAATTCTTCTGAGCAACAAACACATTATTAGAAGATTTAAACATTAAGTAACATATTGAAGATATCAGGTTAAAATCAATACTACTAAGAATAAATTAAAAGTAAAATTTGTAGAAGAGCTAATAATAGGTATTGATAGTAATGATAAAAATATAATTATACTTAAATAAGTTAATAGAATATTGACATATTTTTAATAAAAATGTATAACTAAAATTTATTTTTAGATTACCTAATCATAAAAAAAATAATAGACATTTTTCATCATAGTTAATTAAAGTTGAACATGTATAACAAATTTTTAGCTGTTAAAAAATTTGAAGTGTTTTTAAATACTTAAAAATCATAAAGAACTATGCATTTGTTTCAGAAATCGAACCCTCAGTATATTTAACTATAAATGTAATGAAAATTATAAATAAAAATAATATTTTCAACTATTTTAGATTTATTTATTAACCATTGAATACCTAGATAAAATTTAAAATAATGAATATAATGAGTTGTTATATAACAACCACTAATGTTGAAATGATGTGACATTCAAGTTTGTAAGCATAAAGACATAGTACTTTTAATTAATTATAATAAACAACATACTTAAACAGAATCTTGCACATCATTTACTCAATTTAATATTTTATAATTTAAACAGCTTCTTTGGAATTCAAAAATATAAAAACGTAAAATAATAAATATACACAAGCACAAAAAACATGAATAAAAAATTTTTCTTTTCAACAAGACTGTGATAAATATTGTGCACTAAGATATTAATAAAATAATAACTTTTTTAAGTAGTACATAATTATCTTAAGTATTAAAAACAGTTAAATTAAATTAATTTATAAAAATATAAAATATTTTAAGCTTAATTCTAACTTTTTTAGTATATATTATAATTTAAATTATATATATCCCTAATATAAATAACTAAAACTATAAAAATTAGTACTTAAATAAAATAAATGGCAATACAAACCAACTTTTAGCTTACTAACAAAATACTTACTTGACATTTTTATGCTTAAGGAATTATTTATACAAGTTATAAAATAGGTCTTTGAATCCATAAAATATTTCTATTAAGAATACAAAATTATGTATAAAGAGAAACAAATAATAAGGGTTAATGGAGTAGAAAATAATAATTCCTAATTCTTCTTATATTTCAATAAATGCAATGGAATATATATGGGCGGATAAAATAATTTAATTGAAGAGGTTGCCAAATGCTTTTAAAATAGCAGCGAAGAATTATATAAATATATTTTATATAAATCCGGAATAATAGATTTTATGAAATGATTCCTTACCTCTTATCATTTTTATCCGCTTCAGGTTTAGTATCCTTTTTCTTATCGTCCTTTTTTGGAGGAGGTCTACGATTGCGATTATCAGGCCTGCGCCGGTTTTGGTTCTGGCGGTTATCAAACAACCGATCAATTATTGTGCCAGGAACAGAGAGATTCGATAGAGCACAACAAATGAAAAACAAACTCAGATGAGATTATGAAATTTGTTCGATAATTCGATTGCCAGCGAAACGAATCAGCCAGCTCCAGAATTCAAATTGCCAACGGCAACAGGCCAAACTCAGATTAGCTAAAACGCTCAGCAATAAATAATTGGCAAATCGAAATAATTATAATAGAAAATTTAGATATACTTTAAATATGATTAATTACTGTACAAAAACCTAACTTAAATAATTCCCTAATAGGTACTATTAGGAATATTTTAAAAACCTAGGTCTTAACCTTTTTTTTTTTTTTTTTTTTTTTATTAAATTTGCAATTTAAAATTTTAAGAATCTATAACAGCTTAAGAACTATTTTTTTTTGAAATTTAATTTTGTTTTACCTTGAACGATTCCTGTCTTCTCACCATTCCAGGGTTTGGACCCCAATTTTGACTATTTCCATATCCACCCTACAATATTAAATATTTTTAATTGTAAATAAGCAAATGAATTATAGTAATTTGAATTATTCTTTATTTTTTTTCATTAATTAATTTTTTATGAGAAGTTAACATACAAATAATTTATACACTTTTATAAATTATTAAATAAAAATGTATTTATTACCTGGTTAGGGGCTAAAAGCTTAGATAATAAATCACTAGCTAGAGCCATTTGATTTGGATGAACATTTGGCATCATCCCACCGCCTGGGGAAACACCAGACTCCCAAGGACTCATCTTGGGGCTTCTACCATAATTATTGAAGTTATTGAAACGACTGGTGCCAGCTCCATTGAAATTTCCAGTGCCACCGCCGCCGCCACCAACTCCTCCACTTCCATAATTGCCAGAGTTGCTAAAATTGTTGCTAGGAGTTTGCCCATAAGAACTTCCATAGTTGCCATTATTTCCAATGCCGTAGTTACCACCACCACCACCACCACCACTTCGACGATTGTAAGACATTTTTCCTATCAATCAATTATACATAAGTTAAGATTAATTACAAACAAGTACTAAAAATGCTTAATTTTTTTTTATAAATAATAGTTATTAAAATCAAGTAACCAGAATAATAATGGTTTATTATTTTTGAGAAATTACCAGCAAGTATAGCAGAATATTTTTTTTTACAATCAATAAAAGGGAGCAATTATTTATTTAATTTTATTGAAATGCTAACACACTATTCAATTACAATTATTATTCATCCATTATAAAATTTAAAGTAAAAAAAAATATTTTGAATATATAATACAATACTCAACAATAACAGTTATTTGTTTTTAGGTAAAATATTTTAATTATTTTTCTCCTTTTATACCTAATCATGATATAATATAGCTTAACATATGTAAATTATCCAAGATCCCACAAATGAGGATGCAATTATGTTTTACCTGCATCAGTAAATAGAAATATCCGTTGATTTTAACATGTATCAGACCAATAAATCCGGATCGAAAGTACCCCCTCCCCTCACCGCATAAAACATACACAAATAATTAAAAAATTAGTCACTCTGGAAACCCGATTATTAATATTATTTAGAACGCGAAAAAATTACAAGTTGGTGTATTAAGTACGGTCTAGTAGCAAACTCGAAAACGTTTTTGTGTGAGCCAAAATATGAACCGCGTAGCTTAAGCCGGGCGTAAGTAGGCCAGTCACCTCTCACGTGTATCAACACGTATGAGTGTACGACAATATATGACGCCGTGCCGGTCGATCAGGATTATCCGAAAATCGATGAAGAATAGAATCACATCAAATTGACATCTATCAATCATATACCAATTATATCAGTTAATGGTGGAGCGTACAAATTCTTATTAACATGATAATGATAAATTAATAATAGTTGGTACGATAAACAATCAAATCATAGTCAATAGGTTTACTATTTACCTACCAACGCGATGGGAACTGTCAGGGGAACGGCGTCGGCGCGTGCTAAGATAGTTCACTACACTAGATTTCTTAAATTAGATTGACGGATGTGTCGTTTACAAATATTATACTATTATATTATCGTATATAAACAGTACTCGTATTTAAAGATTCACGACGTGTGTCGGTATCCGGCGCGCGCCCTGTATGTATATAGTAGCTGTAGTTGACGACGGCAACCGAGTGTTGCAATACTCACCGTAATTCGTAGAACAACGACAACAATATCCAGCTGCAGCAGAAGTTCAATGAAGATTGAGCTTTTACAAAAATTTTAGTCGTGTAGATCACAAAACGTAAGGATACGGACAAACAGATTAAACAAGAACAGCGGCACAAGAACAGTATACGAAAACTGCAACTAAAATGGCGGAAACCGACGCCGAAACTCGAAGTGGTCGCGTACCAGTGTGACCAACGGTCGACCAGGGTCGTATTTTGTAAATATAAAGTTTAATAATAATTATACGACCATAATATGCGTCATACTGTGGTTATACGTGTAAATAATCCTCGGATAGTGGCTACTGGCTAGGTTTTTAATTTTTTATGTAGGAAAATTTGGAGAAAAATTATTTAAATAATCCCAGCCAAAAACTTTCTAAAACCGCGAAAAGACGACGACTAAATTTCCAGAACGCAGAAATCATATGCATTATTCAGTAAATGGACCTGTAACCTGTTGAAAATTATGGGATAGATGATGATTTGTTACTAGACATTTTTTTAGAAAAACAAAAAGAATTTCTTATGTTATTGAAAACAGTGAACAAATCTGATATCGAATTTAATACACGGGAATACAGCAATAATAAAACTTGGTTGATTATATACCTATATGGCTATATTAATAGCTCAGTTAAAATAATTTGAACATTTTACTAAGCATTGAAAACATTAATATAAACATTTGGTGATAATTTAAGTATTTAAAAGTATTTCTTTTTTGTCACATAATAAAAACTTAAATTTTTATTTTACTAAAAAGTAAAAATTATTTTGCATAAAATTTGAGTTTTTCTTTATTTTTGAAAATTAAAAGTACTAGGAATTTTTTATTCTTAACCCCACTAAGTACCAACTAGATCTAATTTACTACTTGAAATCACTCTCAAAATTGAAAATTTAAGTTTTTATTAAAGGTGTAAATAAATAAAATACAACACACATACTTTGTAAAATGAATGCAATCATTGTTTTACTCAGAATTCAAAATAAAATGAATGTCTTGTTTTAAATAAAGTTATAGAAATGTAAAGCAATCGTTGATGAGCTCATGATGGTGAACAAAATATATAATTTTAATTAAGACATTTGATTTGATATTCTATTTTTATCATGGGTTAAATTTTTTTCATTGAAATAATTTATACACCACTTGTTACTTTAAAGTAAAATATGAATTTATTACATTAGTACACAAAGATTGTTTGTAATCAAAATGTTTACAATACAAAATATTTATTAAATTATGAGTATAAAATACTATAAGCAATTAAGATATTAAATAATTATAGTTACATCCAATAATTAGAAATTTAAAAGCCTAATTTTTGGTTTGTTTTCACTAGGTATAAATTATTATCATCATTATAAAAAAAAGAAAAATAACGTTAAATAACATTATAAAATCAAATTCATAATAGGATTAAGCATTGTTTAAAGACTGAATAAAACCATTTAAATCATATTCATCATCATAAATTTTTGCATCCCAGAGTTCTGGCAAAGTTTCAAGAACAGATTTTATAGAACCACATGGAGAATTGGTTTTATTTTTTTCTTTCGAAGGATCATCCAATGAGAATAAATCTAATAACTAAGGAAAATAAAGAGTGTCAATTAATATATTTTAGTATTTTCTAACAAAAAGTTGACCATTACTTTATCAGTTCCCATTGTTTGAAGACTTGAATTTTCAGAAGATATTACTGTGTTGGCAGTCTTCAGTTTAAACTTTTGAAAGCTAAAATGATAAACATAAAGTATTAAATAATATATTAGTCATTGGTTTTAATTTTATTTTATTGATCACAATGTATACTTCATTATTTTTTCTTCTAGTGTTGATCTTGTGATTAAACGGTATACATTAACTACTTTTTTCTGACCAATACGATGCGCTCGATCCATTGCTTGTAAATCTTTCATAGGACTCCAATCATGTTCTACAAAAATTACCTATAGTAAATAATTATTTTATTTAGTAAATTAGTTTATTTTTAAAATAGGTAGTAAATATATTATACAGTATCTGCTCCAGTTAAATTTAGACCCAATCCTCCCACTTGAGTGGTCATTATAAGAGTATCAATGGATGGATCAACATTAAAACGATTAACAAGTGAATATCGTTGTGACACAGGCACACTACCATCAAGACGAAGGTAACTTACATTTGGCATATGGGCCCTAATAATATACAACATTTATTTTAATAATTTTATGATTAAATAAATTTAAAAAATTTAACTCACTTAAAGAGATCATTTTCAATGATATCTAACATGGATTTAAGTTGACAAAATATTAGAGCTCTGTGTTGACTTATGACAGTTTCATCATTACTTACTAATCCAATACCACAGTCCATTAAAAGTTGTCTAAAATAATATTTTATAGAATAGAGAATATACAAACAAAAAAATTAATTACCTACTTTAAAGCTGGTAATTTAGCAGCATGTTGAATATCAGTTAGACTAGAATTAGATTCTAAAATTTGTTTAGTTATCTTAGAATACTGAGGATGTTGTGGAGTAAGTACTAATTTTGGATGATTACATACATTTTGTAAATAACGTAGCGCCTATAAAAAAAATAATAAATATTAAATTGTTTCATAAATATAAGTCTAAGATAGCAAAATTACTAACTTGAAGAATATTATTTTTATTAGGAGGATGAGATTTTTCATCAGTTTCAGTATCTGATAAATGTTTATGTATATGTATCTTTGAAAAATCTTCATAAAGTTGTTGTTGGATAGGACTCAAATCACAATAGTAATCCTACACAAAAAATATAATTTTTAAGACCTTTCTTTACTTTAAATTTTTTGTTTACCTGAGTAATTTTAGCTGGCAAATCACTTAAAACGTCTTCTTTCATTCTACGCAAAACAAATGGTAAAACTTGACGATGCAAAGCTTCCATTGCTAAAACACCTAATAAATGAATTGATATATTATAAAAATATACATAACTTATTTCATGTTTATACAGCATGGTTTTTTTTTTTTTTTAATGATTTTAGATAGATAAAATTATACTTATGTTTCTTTGTTAATAGTGGTATTTTTATGAAAATTTACAATTCATTAAAAATAATGTATAAATAATAAAATCAACTATATTATTTTAAATGGATTCTAGTAATGATATGTTTATAAAATTATTTGTGATCAAATCATCAATTTTAGATAATAGCTATATGAACCTGATGGTTCTATAATGTTTAATCAGTCTATCAATAGTTTTAAATACAATTTTACGGAATGAATATTTATTATGTAACCATCAATTTTAAAAATCAATTTATTTTAAATTCTGATAGACCAATGTATACATTTGTTTAAAAAATTGTATTAAAATAAAATATTAATAAAAAATTTATCAACTAACTGTTGGTAACTGATATGTTGAACAGATAGTGACAATTGTATCTTATCATTGAGTAGGTCACTATAAAGAAAAATATTCTGAGTGAAGATAGTTTAACTTTAAGGTAACTGAGGTTACTCAAAACAATCATTGTTTTCTCTTGAAAGAGATGATTTATGATTATTTAATTATAAGTCGTTAAAGTGTCACTGCAATAGTTTATACAATATTAAAATTTAAAAATTAAACTTGATTTTATTGTTGGTACAATTTTTTACTTAATATGATGTTCTTACATGTGTTGACTTTATCTTACTAATAAACAATATATTTAAGTAAAAGGTTAAGTGTCTTTAAATGTTGGCTTTTTTCTTATTTTAATTTTTAAGCTATGAATGAAAATTTTTAACTTGTATTTTTTTCAATACTCATATCTTGCTTAAAATTTAAAACATCAGAAAAGCCAACACTTAAGGAAAAATAATGTTCTTACCTTTGACTTTAATAATAGGTCAATTTACTCTAACTATCAATGCTAACAACACACAATTGGTTCTACTAAATTTGTAATATTAATAGTCAGCAAAATAGTCCTTTAAACTAAATTTAGTGGCCTATGATTTGTACATTAAATTAATGTTTGTTAGAGTGAGACACCAAATGTGAGGATAGCATTCTCTTATACTTAAATAGTAATAAAAAAAGATGCATTTTTTAAATTAAATTTTAATCCTTAGTCATTTAAAAGTTATAAATTCAATTTAATGTCTATAAGAAATAAAATAGGTACATTTGTATGTACTTAATATTAAAAATTAATAAAAGATGGCTGTTTACATTTTTTATTGATTTAATGTACAAATCATAGGTCACTAAATCCAGTTTAAAGGACTATTTTTCTGACTAATAATTCATTAAACAGCTAATGAAATTATTTAAATACTGCTTTATAATAAAATTAATTACCTAAATAAACAACATGAAATCTTTGATTTTAAAAATGAAAATTTTACTCACCAGTTTCTTGTTCCTTTGATGAACATTTTGCATCACGACTTGCTAAAATTGGTTTGCTATATTTGGCAGCAAACTGTTTTTCTGTTCCCAAAAATCCAGGCATTAAAAAATCAAATAATGACCATAATTCTAAAACACTATTCTGAATTGGAGTGCCAGATAATATTAAACGATGGTTTGATTTTAATTGTTTAATGGCTTGACTTGCTTTAGTCTTTCCATTTTTTATTATATGACATTCATCTAATATGCAATAGTTGAATTTTATTTTTGAAAAAAAGTCTATGTCTTTACGTACAATATCATAAGATACTATAAATAAATTATAATCATCTGCATAAGTTCTTAATCTGAAATAAGATTTTTAAGTTTATTAAAAAAAGAATATACTTGAATACTTTATTTAATATAATACATTAGCATTAGAATTATATATTGTATAATAATAACTAAATAAAAATAATATATTTATTGTACTTTTGTCTTTCTACAGGTAATCCAGAATATTGTAATGGCCTCAATATGTTTTTAGGAATAAATTTTTGTACTTCATGAGTCCAATGTCCAATCAATGTAGGAGGACATACAACTATAGATTGTAAAGGAACTGAATCTGAACTACCGGTTTCCTGAAATATTTTTTTAGTATAACAATAAGATAAAATTAAATAATAAATCGTTCATTTATTACCTTATGTTTTTGATTTTTATTGTAATGATCACTAGCAAGTATACATAGTGATTGTATAGTTTTGCCT